GATCCTGATCCCACTGCCAGGGGCCCCTTAAGCAGATCAAGCTACATAGCTCCCTGGCCTCTGCAGAGGGCCCAGTCCAGTCCTACAGAGGCGATGTAAGATGGTCTTCATGGATCCCTGCCCTGACTGTTGCTTTAAACTGTTTGTCACTGTTCTACCTAAATGTGTAGAAATGTAAGCCTAGGTCTTGATGAATAGAACCTTTGTGACTCCAAAATACAACCAAAACCAAGTAAAATACAAACAGCAGTACAAAACGAATGAAATTTAATTAACAGTAAGTGCCATATGTTGTTGACCACATCGCTGTTCGTGTTACAGTCCTGAGGCTGGTGACCTTCTGGAAACCTGTGTGCCTAGACCAGAACAGCTACTGATGGAACTTTCACCAAGCCTTGACTATTATAGGAAATGCTCTGACTCAGACATACCATTTAAGTATTAATTTCACTTCTGTTCTTATCAGTTTAGGATGAAGTAACCTGGTTCCATAAATGCAAAGGTGGATACAGACATCGAAACTACAAACTTATATTGGAACACACAGCAATATAGATATGTGGGTAAGTCTGAACTTTCCTTAAATAGTAAATATTTATAACAGCATCACTACAATAGTCTCAAGATGAAAGCAACACAACTCTCCATCAATAGATGGAGGGTGAGCTAGCCCCAATGTCCATCAATGGAGGGAGGGTGAGCTAGCCCCAATGTCCATCAATAGATGGAGGGTGCGTCAGCCTTGCTGTCCATCAGTGGATGGCGGGTGAGCCAGCATGGTGCGTACACAAATGCAGTGTCATTCAGCCTCACAGGGAGGGTGGCAACGCCTAAATCCGCTGTGAGGACCTTGTGCTAAATGACACAAGGCAGCCACAGAAGGAAACACACACTCTACTTGTGTTAGGTGTGTGGAACAGTCAGTTTCACAGAGACCGGGACAGGGAAGGGACTGGGAACTGACACTGGGGTGCAATGTTCCAGTTTTATCCGATGATTTCTGTGAATGGATGGTGATGACTGAGCAACAATGAGCTTACCACCACTGAACAGTAAGTTACATGTGTGTTTTACCATAGTAAAAGTCAAAATTTTAATGTCAGTTTTAGGTAAAATGTTAAAATGTTTGTTGAGAACAGAGACTCTGAACATTTCTACACACTTCTCCTCCCAGCCCAGAACATTTCATCTGTTCTCCTACAGTGCTCCTGCTTTGCTTGGAACCCTACCAGCCACCTGCTCAGTACATCCTAGTTACCCCCCAACTCTCCTGCCGGTCGCCCTTAGCTCTAAGCAGCAAACTTCCCACACCACCATGTCTGCGCCATGTCTGGGCCATGCCTTCCGTGTTCTCTTGGCTTTGCGTGCTAATTCAGGACCCACGTACACCAGTCACGAGTCCGACTTCAGCGGCCCTCGTTATCATCTCCACTTACGATGTGTGGAGCCCCGGAGCCAGGGCTGCGATCTGGTGTTTGCTGTTATACCCTGACACATTTTGCTCACGCTTACTTCAGTCCTCTGGAGGTTTGTACTGCCATATCTCACATTTGGACAACGTTTGTATCGTTGATTAGAGATGGAGTCTTGCTGTGTTGCCCAGGCTGGTCTCACACTCGTAGACTCAAGAAATCTCAGCCTGGCGGTGGTGGCTCACACCTTTAATCCCAGCACTCGGGAGGCAGAGCCAGGTGGGTCTCTGTGAGTTCGAGGCCAGCCTGGTCTATAGAGCTCCAGGACAGGCTCCAAAGCTACACAGAGAAACCCTGTCTCAAA